CTCCCAATATCAAAATTAGCACTCCCAAATTGTCTGTGACGGTTTCTTACAATATTGGTAATAGTTAAACTTCTGATTTTACAAATAATAATTTATGATAAATTATCAAAATATATTGTTTTTCTAAGTTATTTTAATTTATAATGGTCAATTGAAACATTAAATGCGTTTATTAAATTTAGTTTATCATTGTATTAATTGTACTGTGTACACATATAAGTATAATCAGTAGGTTTTTTCCTAGATCCCCGACCAATGCTCAATAATCATTGAGAACACCATACCCGCATGAGTTGTCTCCGTCTACCAAACGTACATCATTGCAAATTTTTTGTTCACAATAAAGCAATTTGCTTTGTACATTCTAAAATTTGAGTGAATTGACCTGTTATAAAATGTAAAGGTACGATTATTATTTAAGGCATGACAAATTAGATAGGTATCATCACAGTTGTACTAGTTTTGTGCAGTAGATACACGTCTCCTTCACCTCCGGCCTATATCGTAGTTCTCCACTTCTTATTGATTGATTTTGTTCTATATTATATGTATATGATTAACAGCCAGTAAGAAGTGGATAACTACGATATAGGCGAAGTAAAGAGTGGAGGATGCTTAATAAAATACTGTGATGATACCTATCTAATTGTCATGATTTAAGGCATCAGGAGGCTTTTATTGATATTTTAAGGGCCAGTATTACAATCATTGATTACACTTCGATTACGCTTAACCGACTGATAACAGATTTTATTACCGGCCGGATTCCACTGGTTAATATGATGGTAATACTGGCCCTAAGAAGCAAGTTATGACCTTTTTGAAGCTGTACATTTTTGTAATTATATTACAAATAATAATATTAATAAAATCCTCCAAGATCCCCTAGAATCTAAATTATAATATAAGACTTACATTTTTTTTTTTTGAAAGTCCAGTCCCCTTCCCGCCCGTTAATCCGCCACTGCATTACAGACTACAGTAGTTAGCAGCAATTGTACATACCTAATATACATTGTCGTATTTTTGTTTTGAACTCAATTAAATTAATTATGATATTATGCTGAATTGATATTTTATGTTACGTTATTTAATGATTAAGAGGATATCAGAGCCCTATTGGTTTTCTCTCTGGCCCACGCGTAGCATAGACAAAATGCATTAACGCAGAATCATTTTTCTGTTTTTAAGTAATCTTACAGTAAAATCACCCATTACAAAAATGATAGAGAATAATATTTTTGAGGGAATGGAGGTATCGATTTTATATTTTATTTTTATATGACTTTGTATTCGACTTTCAAAACAAACAAAAAAATGTTGTACATTTAAATTGTTTTTAGACAATATTTAGACAAATCGATATGACATTCCCTTAAAAATATTATTCTCTTTATTTTTTGTAATAGATGATTTTACTCTAAGTTTACTTTAAAACATATAAAAAATTATTCTGCATAAATGCGTTTTGTCTATGTTGCATGTGGGCCAGAGAAAGAAAACAAACAGTGCGCCGAGTGGCCGCTGACATCATCTTAAATAAAAACATTATATTTTAGTGTACAATAATTATTTTGCTTATCATAAAAAAGGGAGGAGGGTTCTCATGTTGTGCTTTAGTTTTTAGCACTCCCATGAATTTTACTCTAGTTGCGACCACTTTAATAGGTTTGCATAGTGTTAATTATTACTTAATTTAATACCAATAGTTGCAATTATTTTTCATTTTTCTGTAACAATAAATTTTTTTTGTTTTGTTTAGGAAACTCTCTATTTAAAGAACGCGTTGTAGAATCATCACAACAATGTTCAGTTGGATGGGAAGATCCAACTGAACAACAAGAAAAAGCCAGAGTAAGTTGTTAAAAAATTATTGTATACGCATACAAGTATCTATGTATAATATGTTTCGTACATTTCAGTTAAAAAGACTGTCGGAGTGCAATAAAAAGTTTATATTAACCAGCGTGAATTCCAGTGTAACTAAATTTTTTTTTATGCTTGATATTTTAAATTGTATGTGAAAAACTATAAATTGTTGATTTTTTTTCATTAGGATCGACAAAAGTATGAAAATGCTATTGAAAAACTTGGTGCTCAAGTATTGCGAAGTGCAATGTTTTGTGAAGATGTTACTCATGTTCTTATGCACCAACCAAGTAGAAGTGAAAAATATTTATGTTCACTTGCTTCTGGAAAATGGATATTACATCCAAGCTATATTGATGATTGTTTGGAGGAAAATTGCTTTCTGCCAGTAAGTACAATTTAATATAGAATTTCATTATTCTAAATATTTGAATATATTTTATGTTTTAATTTGTTTATTTTTATAGGAAGATAAATACGAATGGGGAAATCCGTCATCTGACTTATCTTTATCAACACCATTGCACGGAGCAGGTTATCGATGGCGTTCTAAAATTTGTTCTGGTAAAACTGCAGCATTTAGTGGTATGAGAGCTGTATTAATGACTTCAGAAAATAGATATCAAGCTCTGACACGACTCATACGAGCAGGTGGTGGAGTGATATTGGATAAAAAGTAAATATAACTATTAATTTCTAGTTAAATTTATGGTTTGATTTTAACTTTTATTTTTTTTTTAGAGAACTATTGCAGTCTACACATTGTATTGTTGACCAAGGATATGGTAATATTCCTGTTCCTTTAAACGAAATCGCTGTCAAGGGTATATTACTATTACCAGCTCCGTTTCTTGCTGATTTTCTCATTAAAGATCCAGCACCAGATCCTTTAAAATATCTAATACCCGAGTACCTAGCTTTCTATAATAGATTAGCGCCCAATACGTAACATAATAATGTGAATATTTAATATTATACTGTACTGCTGTAATTTTTTTTTATCTATATCAGACATTATACTTTAGGTATTAAATTTTTATGAATACTATTATTTGTAATTTGTAATCTAATATAAATTATATGTTGTATACTTCTACATAATGATTTTTTGTCCTTATGATATACCAATATATTTCAATTCAATAGATATGATTAATTACATATAAATTATGTAAATGTATTAAGGTGGTTAAAATATGCATACAACATTATCCACATAGCATAACTCAATGAAGGCAATTGAATAAATGTTTTTAAAAAATTAAATAAATGCAACGTCATATTTATTATTATATAATTGCAAATAAATAAGTAGGTACTTCCAATTTAATGAATTAAATGAATTAATAATATTGTATAAGTTCAGCAATTATTAAAAATTCATGTACTCATTAATGAATAATTATTTATTATTTAATGAAAATTAAATACCAAACTATATATTGTTGAAAATATATAGGTATGTTAAAAATTAATATAGAATTAAATTAAATTTATTTTTATATTAATTAAACATACTATGATTTTCAAACAATATTTTATTATTTTATTATATATTACGACATTTGAAGTTCTGACATTATCACAAAAATGTACAACTATATAATAACTAATTTATTGACATAATATTATTTATTTAATAATTTAATTTTTAATATTTTGTATTATTCGTTGTAATATTTTATTACAGGACATTTTTATTCTGATTACCTAATAAGTAGGTATTACCTTCCATTAGTAAGTTGCCAAGATCATATTTTCCTGTATTATGTCAATATTGTCAGTTTTTACTGACAATAGAATGACATGACTAAATAACCATAGGCTCTATGGTTTGCGGATCTCTGTAAAATGTTGTATAGACGGATAGAATACAGTAGTACAGAGTACAGACCACAGCCGCATAGTGCAATTATTTTTCCCATTATTATTTACCAATTTTAAACATTTCAAATGTCTGAATAACCCGAAAAGAGCTGAAATATTTAAAAAATTATATTAAGTCTTGTTTAAAATATTCTTATATAAATATTTGGTACACAATTCAAGTCTCTACATCTACAGTTATTCATGTTTTTTGAAATAGGTATAAAAATAAACAATCGATTTTGTAGAAAGTTACTTGACATATTTTACTTTTCAGCTAAAAAATATACAATGGAATGGATATTAGAGCTGCTACTGCCTAAATATTTGAAGCCAACATAACTATATAATGGCCCGTCGTCCTTTTAAGGGGAATTTGTGAAATGCCGAATGCGCATGCGCAAAAGTATGTATTATCATGAACTCTGATAGTAAGTAGTAACCACGGACTAAGATATACAGGACTGGACACGAGATGAATATTGTGGTTACGAAATGTTTTACAACAGGCGGAGTTCGCGGGGATATTTTCCTTTTAGCATTACTAGCGCCGTCTTAGTGGATACTTATGGAACTATAAATTTGTATGATGTGTTCTAGTTCCATAAGTATCCACTAGGACGGCGCTAGTAATGCTAAAAGGAAAATATCCCCCCGAACACTGCCTGTTGTAAAACATTTCGTAGTCAACCCCCCCACACCCTCCAACCTTGTCGTGTCCAGTCCTGTATATCTTAGTCCGTGGTAGTAACTATGGTCCATGTGATAATATAAACTAGGCAGATGGCAACGAACCAATTTTTGTATTATATTTCGCAAAGATGGCGACGGTCTTTCGCCACTTTTCATTGGTTTAGATATTTAGTTTATTATATTGTCTGATATAATATCATTATTTAATTTATTTTGCCATGTCTGAACATCTGTAGTGTGTACCACGATTAAAGATATACCTATATCTTTAATCGTGGTGTGTACTGCGGTCCATGACTATTGACTATTAAGTGAATATTTACTATTTAGTCTTGTTGTTCCGACGTTCCGTAGTCCGTAGTGGCTACTGCCTTGAATGTTCACGATCACACATCGTTTTCCGCTAATATTTTCATCATCGAACATGATTTTTACTCTCCAGTAGTTAATTGTTAAAGTCAACGCGGTCGTTTTATCGTTAATTATTGATAAACGTTGTGAGTGATAATTTCGAGTTTCGTTAACTGTGCGCTTGTAAGCACTATACCGTACGTTTGGGGCAGACGGCTATCATGGACGTCGATATAACCGAGGATATAACGTACGAAGTACCTAGCTTGTTGCGAACGGCGTATTACGCTTGCAACCAGATCGACCGTAACAAGTTTGACTTGCTAGATGTACCTGACGCCGATTTGCGTTACTGTTGCGAGTCGCTGTTCGAAATTATAAAAACCGAAAAAGACCGAAACGAGGGCAGCGACAGGCAGTCCATGTTCAGCAGGTTTCAGTCCACCGTCGATGGCGAGAAGTTTAAAAACATATGCGAAGAGGCAGCGACGCACGGCCACACCAGTTGCATGAAACTCGCTCACGAGATCGGCGTCCCGTGGGACGAGATATCCAGAGACGAACATACGGCGTGCGACCGAGCTGCAAGATCGGGGTATCTGGAGTGTCTAAGGTACGCCTGGGAGAACGGTTCTCCATGGGACCAGAAAACATGTCTCAACGCGGCGTTAGGTGGACATTTGAATTGCCTGGTTTACGCCCGGGAAAACGGGTGCCCGTGGAACGCGGACACATGCAGCAACGCCGCGTTGAACGGTCACAAGGACTGCCTCGTTTACGCCCGGGAAAACGGGTGCCCGTGGAACAAGGAAACGTGCAGCAACGCCGCATTGAACGGTCACAAGGACTGCCTCGTTTACGCCCGGGAAAACGGGTGCCCGTGGAACAAGGAAACGTGCAGCAACGCCGCATTGAACGGACACAAGGACTGCCTTGTTTACGCCCGGGAAAACGGGTGCCCGTGGAACAGGGAAACGTGCAGCAACGCCGCGTTGAACGGTCACAAGGACTGCCTGGTTTACGCCCGGGAAAACGGGTGCCCGTGGAACAGGAAAACGTGCAGCAAAGCTGCATTGAACGGTCACAAGGACTGCTTGGTTTACGCCCGGGAAAACGGGTGCCCGTGGAACGCGGAAACGTGCAGCAACGCCGCGTTGAACGGCCATATGTGCTGCCTGGTTTACGCTCGGGAAAATGGATGCCCGTGGAATAAGGAAACATGCGGCAACGCCGCGTTGAACGGTCATAAGAAATGCCTAATATACGTTCGGGAAAACGGGTGCCCGTGGAACGCGGACACATGCAGCAACGCCGCGTTGAACGGTCACAAGGACTGCCTCGTTTACGCTCGGGAAAACGGTTGCCCGTGGAACGCGGACACTTGCAGCAACGCCGCAAAAAACGGTCACCTTGATTGCTTGATGTACGCAACGGAGAACGGATGCCCGTGGAACGTGGACACCTGCAGCAGCGCCGCGTTGAACGGTCATAAGGACTGCCTAATATACGCTCGGGAAAACAGTTGCCCGTGGAACGAGGACACGTGCAGCAACGCCGCGTTGAACGGCCATATGGACTGCCTGATTTACGCGCGGGAAAACGGCTGTCCGTGGAATGAGTTGACCTGCGCCCTCGCCGCGCTGAACGGCCACATGGACTGTTTAATGTTCGCACATAATAACGGGTGCCCGTGGTGGAACGTGAACATGTGCCGCTACGCCCCAAGTAACTTGCATAAGGATTGCGTGGTGTTCGCACGGAAAAACGAGGATGGAGTTGAAGTCCAATATTCACAGTGCCAGTGGGATACGTGCGGCAATGCCGCGGAGAAAGGTCACTTAGACTGCCTGATTTACGCATGGGAGAACGGGTGCCCATGGAATATGGAAACATGCAGGCGCGCAGCGTCGACCGGTCAGATAGACTGTCTGTTTTACGCAATGTCAAAAGATTGCCCTTGTGACGAGAGGACGTGTAGCAGCGCGGCTTCGAGCGGTAATTTGGACTGCTTGGTGTATGCTTGGGAACATTGGTGTCCGTGGGACCGGGAAACGTGCAGCAACGCCGCGTTGAAAGGTGACATGGAATGCTTGGTTTTCGCACGAGAAAACGGGTGCTCGTGGAACGAAGAAACGTGTAGCAACGCCGCGGCGATGGGTCACAAGGACATCTTGGTTTACGCACGGGAAAATGGGTGCCCGTGGGACGAAGATACTTGCAACAACGCCGCTTCGAGCGGTCAATTGGAGTGCCTAGCTTACGCCCGGGAAAATGGGTGTCCGTGGAACGAAGAAACATGCAGCTACGCTGCAGGGAGTGGAGAAATGGACTGCTTGGTGTACGCCCGGAAAAAAGGGTGCCCGTGGAACGAAGAAACGTGTAGCAAGGCAGCGGAGGACGGTCATATTGACTGCTTGGTTTATGCTCGGGAAAACGGGTGTCCGTGGGACGAGGACACCTGCAGCGAAGCCGCGATGAGCGGTCACATTGACATCCTGAAATATGCACGGGAAAACGGCTGTCCCTGGGACGAAGAAACGTGCCTCAACGCAGCTTATAACGGTAACATTAGTTGCTTGATGTTCGCAAGGGAGAACGGGTGCCCGTGGGATGATAACACTTGCAGCCAAGCTGCGTCAGCCGGAAACATGGACTGCCTGGTATATGCACATGAAAACGGGTGCCCGTGGAATGAAGACACTTGCAGCCTTGCTGCGTTATACGGACATTTAGACTGCCTGATTTATGCACGGGAAAATGGCTGCCCATGGGACGAGAAGACGTGCAGTAACGCCTCTTCCAACGGTCACTTGAACTGTCTGGTTTATGCGAGGGAAAACGGTTGTCCTTGGGACGAACAAACTTGCATCAACTCAAAGATTTGCGATAACACGGCCTGCGTGCGTTACGCACAAGAAAACGGGTGTCCCAGTTTCAACCCTGTTCTTCACAATTATATGGAATTTGAGTAATACCTATTTTGTTGCCAATGTGTTAGTACTTATCACTCATCATATCGACAGTCTTTTTTTTATGATTTTGTGTTAGAAGTTCTTTGCATTGGCTACATATCTGTATAATTTTTATCCTGCTAAGGACCTCAATACAGCAACTTAATATTGTAAATTATAAATCATATGTTTAATAATAATTATTATATTTAAACTTGTATAGACAATAAATAAAATTTAAAAAAAAAACATTTACATTAACATTACATTTCAACAAGATCATACTTTAACAAATAAAAAACATAAGTTTTTTTTTTTGTTCATTGAAACGACCTCTAAGTCTTTGTCAATGGTTATCACAAAAACTTAAGTGTGTGTTAGTACTCAGAACACACAACAGAAGTGGATATTTAATTTTAATCGAAATTAAAATGATGAAATGGAATTTATCTGAATGTTTGTCGAATAATAGTATTAGTATCCAATAGGTAGTTGTTAATAATTTATAAAAACAATAAAATGTTATAACAAAATTTAAATAATTGTATTTACTATTATGAATTAAAAATGTTTATTTTTCACTCAAATAGACTACTCTAATTTCAACGATCAACTTGATTTGCATTGTGACAAAATATTAAAGTTGTTCACAACATGTGTGAGGGATGATCGATCCACATTTTCATAATTTTATTGGGTTGTTTAAACATTTATGTTTGAAATTTAAAAATAATATGTGTTAAATGGTCTGTCATCACCTGTAATAATGAATACATCACTCCAATGAGGATTTCATTAAATGGTTAAAAGTTTAAATTCAAAGGTACCAATTTGTTTTATCATTAGGTGTTAAAAAAATCATGAATTTAATTTTGCTCTAAATTTTTTTTAATTAGAAGTCATAAAAATGAATAGTACTTACTAATTATATAAAAATGTTCAACTGAGTAAATAAGTGGTTGATAATAATAAGATTTTTTAAAATAATATAAAACTAAATCTTTTAAAACTTATATTCATACCTGTTTTTAGACAAATAGGTATTTGTTTAGTATGAGTCCTACCGTATTGGGTTTTTGATTAGAATTTTTAGTCAAAGTAAAAATCATAAAATTATATTATTTTATTATAATTAATTAATTAGTTATGCAAAATACTGATTCAAAATAATGCTGTATTACATTAAATAATTTCAAAATCAGTCTAACAAAATAGGTATTAGTAAAAAAAAACATTGAATACATATTTAGGTATCTAGTACAGCAATATGTCAAAATTATTAAACAAAAATTATGAAATGATTTTATTTTGAGAAAAATATATTGCAATACACTTTGTGTATCACTTGAAAAGATTTTAAAAAAGTATCTTGCCTGTTAATAGATCAGCACACTAACATTTTCTGTGCATAATAATATAGATAATTGCCTAGGTAGGTTACATACTAACCGAATACCAATAAATGTACATATTTAACATATCATAATCACTCATTTTATTTAATTTTTTCTTAGCTAAATTTTTCAAAACATGTATTTCACATTTATTGGTAATTATTGCAAAAATGTAGTAAAATAATAATATGTAGGTAGTTTATCTTTTTATGTTTTAAAGAATTCTTCATTTTAATTTTAATTATTTATTTGTTGATATTTTTATTTTTTATTTGTAAAATTTGTAGTTGTGATAATTTAAGCATAAAGTTTGTAACCGTGTACAAATTAGAAAACTTTAATGGCGGTTTCCTAATGATTTTCCATATGTAAAACTTAGAATTAGTAATATGAAGGTAATTATTTGTTTTAGTTTAATTGATTGATATTCAATCATGAAATTAATTGCCCTGTTAAATGTTAATAATATAACAATTAACAATCATGATTATTTGATAATATAACATAAAACATTGGTAATAAAATATAAATAATACCTCTACTTAGTATTTAAACTATAAGACAGTACCAACTACCAACTACCAACCAATATTTTTTAAATATAGGTAGCTAGTGAGTACCTACCTCAATAAGTCGGTTATAATTAAATAGTGAATCTGTCCGCTTGTGGATAAAATAAAAGTAATTTTTATTATAATTATAATAAATAAATAAATAGTAATAAAAAATAAAAAATAAAATTATATTAGTTATACAATAGTTATACTATCCGCAAGTTAATTGGCTACTGGCACTGTGTAACTTTTTTTTATAACTGACTGACTGACCACTCACTATACTACTATAGTACATACAACACAACTGCACCAAGATTTCCAAAAGACCCCTAATTTCCCTGTACAGACGTGCAGTGTACATGTTTATGTTTCAGCTTATTAGCTTCATTGAACTAAGTCTATGATGCCATAGACTATACTCTCTCTTATGTTTTAAAAAAAAATATACCCTCATATTTGGAGCTTATTCTATAACATAATATATGATTAATAAAAACTTAACTACCTATAACTTAACTTCACACACTACCTACCTATATATTTTTGTGTAAATGTCTGACTACTCTGACTGTACTGTACTTATGATGAGATAATTAAATAATACCAACACACAGATGTCAGATATATACCACTCAGTGTCTCAGTGGCATATCTACGGGGGGGTATGGGGGTCATATCCCCCCCGGAAGGTTATTTTTATTTTTTTATTTTTTATTTAAAACAATATTTTGATAGTTGTATGAAGATTGACGTACGTTGCACCAGCACCGCCCATTAAAAAATTTTGATTTTTATTTCACCAATAATTAGCACGCAATTAGCATGAATTTGCATGACTAATTTTGCAATTTGCACGATACCAGTGTCCCCGGAATCGCAAAAATCAGCGGGCGGTGCTGGCGAAACGTTTCGCCAGCACCACCCAACTAAAAAAAAGCAATTTTTTATAATTTTACATATCCATCATTTAGCACGCATTTAGCATGAATTTGCATGACTATCGCCGAAATCCGCACGATCGTAACTTTCGAGCAATATCGTCCCATACAGTTTGGGCGTTTCGCCAGCACTGCCCCAGAGTGAAATTTTTCAAATTTCTAAAACTAAACCACTCCATCATTTAGCACGCATTTAGCATGAATTTGCATGACTATCGCCGAAATCCGCACGATCGTAACTTTCGAGCAATATCGTCCCATACAATTTGGGCGTTTCGCCAGCACCGCCCCAGAGTGAAATTTTTCAAATTTCTAAAACTAAACCACTCCTTCATTTAGCACGCATTTAGCATGAATTTGCATGACTATCGCCGAAATCCGCACGATCGTAACTTTCGAGCAATATCGTCCCATACAATTTGGGCGTTTCGCCAGCACCGCCCCAGAGTGAAATTTTTCAAATTTCTAAAACTAAACCACTCCATCATTTAGCACGCATTTAGCATGAATTTGCATGACTATCGCCGAAATCCGCACGATCGTAACTTTCGAGCAATATCGTCCCATACAATTTGGGCGTTTCGCCAGCACCACCCCAGAGTGAAATTTTTCAAATTTCTAAAACTAAACCACTCCTTCATTTAGCACGCATTTAGCATGAATTTGCATGACTATCGCCGAAATCCGCACGATCGTAACTTTCGAGCAATATCGTCCCATACAATTTGGGCGTTTCGCCAGCACCGCCCCAGAGTGAAATTTTTCAAATTTCTAAAACTAAACCACTCCATCATTTAGCACGCATTTAGCATGAATTTGCATGACTATCGCCGAAATCCGCACGATCGTAACTTTCGAGCAATATCGTCCCATACAATTTGGGCGTATCGCCAGCACCGCCCCAGAGTGAAATTTTTCAAATTTCTAAAACTAAACCACTCCATCATTTAGCACGCATTTAGCATGAATTTGCATGACTATCGCCGAAATCCGCACTATCGTAACTTTCGAGCAATATCGTCCCATACAATTTGGGCGTTTCGCCAGCACCGCCCCAGAGTGAAAATTTTCAAATTTCTAAAACTAAACCACTCCATCATTTAGCACGCATTTAGCATGAATTTGCATGACTATCGACGAAATCCGCACGATCGTAACTTTCGAGCAATATCGTCCCATACAATTTGGGCGTTTCGCCAGCACCGCCCCAGAGTGAAATTTTTCAAATTTCTAAAACTAAACCACTCCATCATTTAGCACGCATTTAGCATGAATTTGCATGACTATCGCCGAAATCCGCACGATCGTAACTTTCGAGCAATATCGTCCCATACAATTTGGGCGTTTCGCCAGCACCACCCCAGAGTGAAATTTTTCAAATTTCTAAAACTAAACCACTCCTTCATTTAGCACGCATTTAGCATGAATTTGCATGACTATCGCCGAAATCCGCACGATCGTAACTTTCGAGCAATATCGTCCCATACAATTTGGGCGTTTCGCCAGCACCGCCCCAGAGTGAAATTTTTCAAATTTCTAAAACTAAACCACTCCATCATTTAGCACGCATTTAGCATGAATTTGCATGACTATCGCCGAAATCCGCACGATCGTAACTTTCGAGCAATATCGTCCCATACAATTTGGGCGTATCGCCAGCACCGCCCCAGAGTGAAATTTTTCAAATTTCTAAAACTAAACCACTCCATCATTTAGCACGCATTTAGCATGAATTTGCATGACTATCGCCGAAATCCGCACGATCGTAACTTTCGAGCAATATCGTCCCATACAATTTGGGCGTTTCGCCAGCACCGCCCCAGAGTGAAAATTTTCAAATTTCTAAAACTAAACCACTCCATCATTTAGCACGCATTTAGCATGAATTTGCATGACTATCGACGAAATCCGCACGATCGTAACTTTCGAGCAATATCGTCCCATACAATTTGGGCGTTTCGCCAGCACCGCCCCAGAGTGAAATTTTTCAAATTTCTAAAACTAAACCACTCCATCATTTAGCACGCATTTAGCATGAATTTGCATGACTATCGCCGAAATCCGCACGATCGTAACTTTCGAGCAATATCGTCCCATACAATTTGGGCGTTTCGCCAGCACCGCCCCAGAGT